AGTTGTGCTTAAGCTAGACATAAAGGTTAGAAATAGAATACACTAGAAGCAAGGGCGTGCGCGTTGCCATGCCATTTTTCTCCTTTGTCATTTATATAAGGTTATTTTTGCTTGCTATATCTACTGTATTATGTCTCCTCTAAATTTTTTGATAGGTCAATGACATAAACATATATTGTAGAGTGTAAAATAACTTTGTTTTCTAAGAAAGAATGCGGTTTGACTGTCTTAAACTATAATTCATTTTCTTTTCATCTAAAACAGCAGAGGTACCAAAGTAACTTATAGAACTTGTAGATCATAGATAAACATGATAAAAATGAGAGAAAGGTGACCTGATAGCTTTACAGCTAAGAAGCTCGCAACACCCCATGTACAGCAGGAGCATCATCAATGATGGGCATCACAAACACTCAACCACTCAAAAAATGATTCTACGTATAGCAGCTATAGTGTAGCATGCACATAGAAACCAGTAGTCTCTAGAGAAAATAAACAACTCAAAGTCCTGACAAAGCGTAGTAGCATCTGTGCTATCAAAGCCAAATGTCATTGATAAATTAAGAGAGTTTTAAAGGCAAAAAATGCAACAGCAAAAAGAAACTCCAACATGAATAGGTTTGCACGTCATTGGCAATGTTCATGGCCCTGGTAAGCTATGACACCGACATATACTCTTTCTAGTCCACCCCTTGCAATTCATTCTCCTCAAAGGCAGTCAAGCCCTCCTCCTTCTCTCGCATTGTCAGCTTATTCTTGTCAGAATTCTCTAGACATAGTAATTATACACCTCCTTCACAGTGGCTCGTCTGCTTTTGTCTTCAACAACTTCGACACATCCTCATCATGCGCGTTTGGTTGCCACCATATCTTAGTTGAGATCGATCATAGTGGAAGCCTCTCTCTTGCAAGAGAAGGCACACAACAACCTTACCGAGTGATAACGAATAAAGGAACCGGATGCAGTGACAGGAGCTAGGGACAATGCAAGAGGGATGCAAGGGCTTGGATTATTGGAGTCAGTGGTGCATGCTTGAACCACCTCCAATGCATGTGATATATATTTAATTCCCTCCCCTAAAAAGGTTCCACATGTGTGTTCCTCTCCTCTCCAATACTTGTCTTAAATCCCATCTCTATATATACTTGTTGTAGTATGTTTTATCAAAGGTCCCATAACTTACAATATACATATGCAATGACCGCATTTTTAAACACTATACTAATGAATATATTTCTAGCGGCTCAATAACTGATATCAAACAAAATTTTACTATCTAATACTCCCTCTATCTCATATTAACCATCGAAATAGATGTATCTCGACGTATTTCATTGTTAGATATATTCGTTTGAGCGACAATTAATATAGGACGAAGGGGGTACTATATCTAATTATTTCTATTTTTGTAGGCATTTGGAAAAGAGCAGGAATGAGATTAGCTCATTCTTATACGTATAAATAAGATGCAACTATATAGTAAATGTTGTAGTAGAAAACTATATAACCAGAGCCGACGAATCGTTCCGCAGTTGCGAAAGAAAAGAAAATGAGTCGTTCCGCTGGACAAGTCTCGCTGGTTAGCGTTGGCCTGGGCTGGCATCCCATTTGGCTTGGATGCATTCTAGTCCAACTATGCTTTCTCTCTGCACCCTAAAGCTGATAGTTGCCCTCACATAGGGAGATTAAGGTCGTGATTTGCCTCAACTTAAAATGTAATTTGTCGCCTACTTTGCCGCGGACCCATTCCATAAAATAGCACACACTATTACTCAGTAATGGAAGAGATCGAAGTGCGAGCGCAATGCCTCGCACAACTGCGCGGAAATGGCCTCCTCTCGCCTCTCAGAGGCGCAAGAACAAGCATGGAGGCACATAGAGAGCCTTGTATTGGCGGCAGGCTAAAGATCTAGTCCAGCCTCGCCATTCTCGGCTAGGCCTTTGCGACACCACGACCACGTGCCTTCACTAACGAGAACACCATGCGCGAGGAGGGAAACTGGAGAGGGAGAGGAGCAGTGGCGCCAGGATTTTGAGGCTGGGTTGCCAAAAAAAATTACTCTAAATGTACTATAAAGACACCAGTACGACAATAGTAATTTTTTAATGCATCAAACCATACTAATTATACATAAACATAAAGACACCAGTACCTTTTGATTGACAGATTGATGATATCCCATCTTACAATATCTACTGCTTACAATATAACTTTGCGATCGCCTTTTTGGAAGAGATTGATGACATCCTCATCCTTTACTTGATTGAAGAATTCTCTCTCAACAAATGTAACCAAAC